CCCAAAACTAATCAAATCTGCGCACTAGTTCAGAGCATCCATGTGCCAAGTTTCATTGAAATCCAATGAGTGGTTCTTCAAATATCAGTGGAACAGTCATGGAACAGCTTGAAATCAGTTAATTATCATTCAAATTAGATAATTAATATTCATAGATTTTTACCCAAAACTAATCAAATCTGCGCACTAGTTCAGAGATCCATGTGCCAAGTTTCATCAAAATCCAATGAGTGGTTCTTCAGATATCAGTGGAACAGTCTTGGAACAGCTAAAAATCAGCTAATTATCATGCAAATTAGGTAATTAATATTCATAGATTTTTACCAAAACTAATCAACTCTGCGCATTATCCCAGAGCATCTATGTACCAAGTTTCACCAAAATTTGATTAGTGGTTCTTGAGATAATGGTGGAACAAAAAAAGTGACATACATACATACATACATACAGACAGACAGACAGGGTAACTGCAAAGACTCCCTTTTGTGCTTCGCACACGGGAGTCAAAAATGGACAATATGCATAGTATCAGTGCAATGGGACTTGCTGTTTTCAACAAGAATTCAAAAATATCATTTTTCACCATAAATGATTGTGGTTTTTAACAAGAAGAAAATATCACTTTTTACCAAAAATATTCACCAAAATTAGAAAGTTGAAGATATCATTACAAAATGAACAAATCTGAGAGAGATCCACATGTAGTACCTATATATGTAATATCAAAGCAATTGGACTTGCGGTTTTTAACAAGAAGTCGAAAATATCACTTTTTACCAAAAATGACAAAAATATTCACCAAAATTAGAGAATTGAAGATATGATCATGAAATGAACAAATCTGAGAGAGGTCTACCCAAGGTACATATACACCAAATATCAAAGCATTCAGGCTTGTAGTTTTCAAGAAGAAGTCAAATAAGTAAAACATTGACACGGACGACGGACAATCACTCATATGATAAGCTTCGCTCGACAAAGTCGACAGCGGAGCTAAAAAAGTTTAAAGTCACAACTATTCCTTCTTTAATAATCTTATATTTATAACAAGATTGTAAAATATACATTTTTCCCTATGATGTGAAGGTGGGTTTTCTCTGCCTGCCATGTGGCCCAGCATTATACTGGAGTTGTATCCCTTTTAATTATATTAAATGATGAGATTGAACAGTTTCTGGCAGAGTACACATGCAACAATAAGGTATGAATGTCTAAAAAGTAGTTCATGAAAAGAAAACAAAATACTTGGAAAATGGAGTAATTATAGTTTTGGCTTGTTATGCTCAATTTAAAATCATTTTATCATTAGTAGTAATACACTTAATCAATTCAAAATGGTAAAGTTTTCACATCATACTGAACCATCCAGTGTACATTGCAGATCAGTCAAGAATTAATTATTTTTCAATCAAAACAGTCCATATTTAACCAGTCAATTATCAATATCAGTAAATGTTAATAAAAAATGACAAATTATCTGCTCCAAAATGGAAATACAGAAATTGAAATTCATTCAGAGTTGATAGGGCACCCAAGGCCAAATTTGGGATAGCATATACTGCATTTGCTCTAAAAGGTGCATGCCTTTGTGTAAGTTACAGAGGCGTTTTTATGTCAAAAATAAGTTGAAATTGCATACAACAAATGTGATTTTCTGTTTATATAGACAAGATGTGCTTCTAATACAAATACAGTAATGGTTAGGAATACCTGTATTTTTAAAGACGACCAATGCAAATACATTAGGCATCATGGCAATCACCTTTGATGGCTCTTTTCAGTTCAAGCCTTGATACGCCAAAAGAATCAAAAGCAAAATGGTCTCAGGCTGAGTATACAATGTACTTGTGAAAATAAGAGTTGATAATGGTGAACAAAATCATCATGTTATTTACATTATTTGGTGCTCTTATATACTATTTTCCAAACACTGACCAGCATGGCAATAAAAAGAATTCCAATCTAGAAGAAAATATTCCTTATTAATCTAATCAAAAAATGCTTACAAAGAACTCCTGTGTGCTGAGAGTATTGGAGACACATTTAAAATTAATTAAAAATATAAGATCAGCCTTTCAAACAAGATGAAAAGTAATAACAGAAATATAATAAAACTTTTAGGGGAATTTTTACATAAATCATTCATTTTAAGAAATGAGCTTTCTTTGGATATAATACCTCGACTCTTTTTTTCTATTTTTTTTACGTTATCATACTTTGATATTATTTTAATCACTTATATATTTATTGCTGTAAACCAATAGAACATTTGTACTTCTAAAGATGCAATAAAGTTGTTATTATTATTAACAAGAAGCTTTGTGACTAATATTGGTCTACTATTTGATATGCACAACATGAAAACAATGTGAGTCACAGTATATAAGTTTATAACACTAACGGAAAATAAATTTAATTGTACATACATTTGTATGTGTTTCACAGTCTAATTTATTTCAGAGCACCTTTACCACAAGTTTTTTTCAAATATCAGTAATTGGCTAATCAAAATTAGATGATCAATATGCATGGTTTTGAAAATTAAACTAATCACTTCTGTGAATTACCCTAGAGTATCTATAAATTTCAATGAAATATGATTATGCAAATTCGATAATTAGTATGTTCGAATTTCAATCTAAACCTACTGTAAAATACTTTATTTTTGCTTGGAATTAATTTTCGCTGGAGGAATGATTCAGTGAAAATAAAATTCAGTGAGTATACTTTTTTTCCTATGTTATACATTCAACTCATCAAAAATCAGTGAAAATAAATTCCATACAAAACAAAAAGTCTTTTTTCAGCGAAAAATTAATTTCAGCTAAAATAAAGTATTTTACAGTAATCAGGTCTTTAGCTTTGTCCCCCAGGCACTATATCAACTCATATTGAAATGCAATACTTGGTTTTTGAGATATAGGTGAACAATTGATTATTTATTTTGATCAGCCCTTCTTGAGATATTCGTGGAACACGCGTACAATGTACATTCATACACACGCACACAGACAGAGTAACTACAAAGACCCTGTTATGTGCTTCGCATACACTGGAGTCAATAACAGGCTTACAGTCACTGTTTAAATAGTCAAAGCTAAATTTGTTTTTGAAATCATGATTTATAATCAGAATAAACAACTAATATCTATGTAAAATGATTTATAACAAATCACTGTTCTGTCTACATTTTTTCTCATTTCTGGAACATTTAAAAAATTTTTCTTTGCACACCTGCGGTAACAACTACAGTAAAGTTTGAGCATAATTGAACTGGCTAACAGCAGGCTTTGTCTGTTCATAAAAATAGGTATCATAATTCAATGTATTTTTGTAGTATTTACCAATATGAGAATTACTTAAAAAGATTACCTGAAGCACAAATCAGATATCAGTTGCTTTTAAAAGGAAACTCAAGTTAGTTTTAAGCCAGATAGGTAAATGTTTAGTTACACATACTGTCAAGAATTCGGGAGTTGAGAGGGCACCAACTCTCAAGGCCATATTTGATCAAAATTGTATAAGAATAGTTAAACATCTCGAAAAGGCACCAAGGCAAACTCTTCAAACACCAGAGTAGTTACCTGTGATTTATCTTAGGAGTTCAAGTCCTGACTGTAAATGCAACAAGGAAACATATCCCCCCCTCACACACCTACCCTGATGCATGAGGAAATGATATGCAGATCAGAAATCATTTATATTGATTGATGAGAAGGTAGGTGTTTACAATTAAAAAAATGATACATAGTATAAAAGAATGGTTCAAAAATACATTAATAATGTCAGTTCTGTAAAAATTTGAACAGCAACAAGAAGACATCCACAACAATCTTACTTGTCAAAAAAATTCAATTGCAATATTAGCATAAAATAAGAATGATAAAACCTTGTGTGACCGAGTCAATATGCTGTACATGATCTTTCGCAATTCAGATGAAAGGGAGAATGACAAGGATTCACTGATTATGCACATCAAAAGTCAACATTGGTGCTCAAAGGGGCATATTAAAAAAAGTTACTTTTTTTCATCAGTCTTGGGTTTTGTATTTTTTTTCTCTCCAACTTTACGTTTGATTTTCTCTTCAGCCATCGATTCTTCATCTCTTAAATGTGTTAACTTGTGTCGACTTAAATGACTGGGATCAATATATGTCTTTTCACATAGATCACATTTAAAAGGCCTTTCACCAGTGTGAAGCCTTTCGTGACGCTTCAGGTGACTGTGCCTCGTGAATGCCTTATCACAAAGATCACAATCAAAAGGTCTTTCCCCAGTGTGTGTTTTCTCGTGTCGTCGCTTGTGGTCAAAACGTATGAACGCCATTCCACATACTTCACATTTGTGTTTCCGTTCCCCACTGTGCATTTTCTTATGGCGTTGCAAGTGTTTCTCATCAGTGAATTGCTTACCACATGTGCTACAGTGACATTCGTGTTTGTCTTTATTTTTAGATCTCTTAGATTTTTTCTTACCACTTGTTGATGGTTCAGAATACTCAGCAGCACCACTAGCAGAATTCATTTTCTCCTTGTCAGATGATTTAGTAATTTCTATTGAGCAGTTGTCGTCAGACTTCTGTGTATCATTGTCTTCCGATTGGGAAGACTGTGCATTGTCAGATGATGACGGCTCTGAAATTTTTTCTTCGGAATTTTGTGATGAACTCTGGCTTGAAACTGCCTGCTTGTCTAAATTTGGTGTCTTATTGGCAACTGTGGTTTTACATACTGACTCGTCTGGTTCAATAGAACCTAAACGTGGGGGAGCAATCAATGTGCTTACTTCTGCTCGTGCACCAGTCAGTGAAATCTTCACTCCAATACGTGGACTATTTGGTGACAACTGAAGATTTGCATTGTAACTCTGCTGATCAATAATTCCTGGATTCCCAGGCAGTTGTTGGGGTGGTGCAACAGGGAAGCCAGCTCTTGGTGGTGCCCTTTGTGGAGATACCATATCACATCTGGGATTTGGTGGATTGGTGTGCGGGGAGCCCATGGCATAACTAGGATTAGAAGGTGCTGTCTGGGGAGATACCATATCACATCTTGGTTTGGAGTTCATCATCTGCGGCAACACCATGGCACAGCTTGGACGACTCACCATGACTCTTTCATTCAAATTTGCAGAAGGCATAATTGGGCGATCAGATGACTCCGTCATGTTGTTTGGATTAACTCCAAGGACTGGTGGACGATATTGGCAGTAATTCGGTTGCTGTTGGCGGTGAGTATACCCATCCATGCTGATACAGTAAATGACACTCTTAAATTACAACAGAGAGCACTGTACGTAAGTGTGAATGTCGACACTACTGGAAAAACCGTCAGTTGAAAAAAAAACCCAATGGGGTTTCTATTTAGCTACAGGGGTCCGTTTTACTTACAGACGTCCATTCGTCGCCATCACGCAATTTTCCGGGTACATATTTGGTGAAATGCCACAGAAGATATTCATACACCTACCGAGTTGCCATATATACACTGGAGTGTACATATAGCATAGTTTCAGCGTTGTCGAAAAAAGAGTGCTCTATCAAACACTTTTCCTTATTAAGTCGCCATCTTGAATTGAACTACTTAGGTTAGTTGGTAATAACAACACGACCCTCTAGTTGGGTGACCCTAATCTTTTGATTTCGTCATTTTACCTTTGATTCTTCCACGTTCAAGAGCGATCATACAGTTTAATCGTATGGAACATGTATGAAAAAGTCGATTAACCCATAACATAGACGTTGCGTATATTTTGCTGCCAAAAATACAATACCAAAACACAAACATCAAGATGCCCAGTGAGATGACGCTGGTGGCGGTATTTACCCACAATTCTGTGCGATCAATAGATATTAGAAACAGGAAGTGAGCTGAGGTGGGAGTTATCTTTGATTCAGCAGGTAAACAATGCTTGTTTTCGTTTTATTCGCAATAACATTGTACTAGTGCGCCCGGACACTATGCAACAATATTTTTTTTTTTTTTACAAATAATATCTAGCAGAAATAGTTTACAAACAACTCTGCATTCTGATTTACGGTGTGTATTTCTTTATTGTACACTATGATCAATCCTTCGGTGTTGAGGGTCGACGATGACGATGGAATGCGTGCATGACAAGTTCAAATAGTGTGATGCAGAATACCTCACCGTCAGTTGATAGCGAAATTTGTAGGGATCAACCATTTAAAATCATGGGGGGGATCTGATGGGTGCCTAGAAGAGTGTAAACAATGCAATTCAACCATGCACCCCCATCATATGAAAATTGGTGCTTACAAGTCTTAGTAGGGGATTTGGATTATAACACGATCAAAATCCAACGTTAAGCCTATAAACGTTTCATTGTTTTTAGTGCCAAACCCCTTTGTTAAGTACAACAACAAATATTTCGTTGGTGTTTGTGAGCTCTTGTGT